CACACTAGTTTACGCGTTATAAAATGTAAAAATAATGTATCCCCCTCTCATTGCTTATATGTACAAGAAACATTACTTAATATCAATAGAACCATTTCTTCTCCTTCCCATCAAGAATAAAGAAACTACACGAGAAATGTATCAATAATGTCACATTGTCATTTAGGTTTTTTCACGCTAAAAGTGTTTCCCAAAAATATGATTTATTAATTAAATTCCATAATTATTTTCTGGATAAATTTGCTTTAATTACATTATGCGAATTTATTTTCTTTGATCAAAGATATAGAAACAAAACGATTTTTCAAAGCGAAAACTACGAACTATTTTCTAATCGGTTTGACAAATATTTCATATATGTGATAAAAGCAAACTTGTCTTGTATGCAATTTTGAAATAGAATTGACATCTCAGATTTGTGTAGAGCCTATTAAGTCTAAAAACTTAGAAAATCAGAGTTTGTGGCAAAGACTCAATTCCTTTCTAGTAAATTGAAGGATTTCCAAAAAAATATAAAATTAGATATTTTTGGACCAAATATTTAATAGATTCAACATTTTCATTGATTATCTAAAATACCTCACTGAGCGTTTATAATTTATTTTTTGTTAGATTTTGTATTCTGTTTTTATCTTTTAGCCCACAATATATACACGAGAATAATGTTTTTAGAAAAACCTTCAAAAAAAGGAAGTTTGGAAATTTAAAGTTTTTAATCTGCTTCTTACTAACTTCCCCAATAAAAATTACTTTTCTCCAAAAATATCATGCATAGTTAAGTTAAAAATCTTCATAGAAAATCGAAGGGGGGGCTTTGATTTTTAAATCATATTTTTCAAATAAATCAACAAAACCTGACACTCTAAAAGGTGTTGAAACAGCACAACATTGAGGAGATAATTTAATTGTTATATTCGACATTTTATATTTTAATCATTAAATGCCAAACTTGAGCCATCTCCTTAGCCAGGAATGGTTAACTATTAAAAAATAATTTAAATGTGTAATTATTTTAGGGTTACTTAATCTAACTTTACTTACAAAATAAATGTAAACAAAAATATTTAAAGTAAAAATGAACAAACCCTAAAAGTGACGAAACTCAAAATTGAAAATTTTTGAATAAACTTGTCTTCACAGACCCTTATAATTCGGAGCTTGACACATAAAATACTTCTCACAAAAACAAAAAAGATCATCGATTTATGATTTTAGCATGGTTTATCCCTTTATATTTGTGGCTGGGTCCATTACCTTTTATTTCAACCTTAAGTCTTTCTTTACAGGCTAGAGTGAGTATATATTAGCAAAATGAGACAATGAGATTACTTGAATGAGAAAATAATCTAAAATGTCAAACTTTAAATCTCTCAAGTTTTAAATTGACAGAGCTAGGAAAAGAAACAAAATCAGAAATGAAAAGTTAGTTTATGTTTGATAACGTTTCGGGTGCATTTATAATATTTAAAGGGATTGTTTCGATATCTGAAGAAGTTAAGAAGTTAATACCATTAAAGGGACTGTTTCGATATCTGAAGAAGTTAATTGATACCATTAAAGGGACTGTTTCGATATCTGAAGAAGTTAATTGATACCATTAAAGTGACTGTTTCGATACCATTAAAGGAACTGTTTCGATATCTGAAGAAGATGATTGATACCATTAAAGTGACTGTTTCGATACCATTAAAGGGACTGCTGTTGTAATTTAAGTGACTCTCCATATTGAGAGAAGCCCAAAAGGAATGGAAGACGTGGGAATGGGTCTTAAACTGACGCGAACGACGGCGAAAACGGACGTCGGCCATTCCCGATTTACAACAGTAATATTTAAAACTTTGATTGATCTATAATTTGAAATATTTTGTCGTTTCCCTTGCTTCCAAAGTGTTTTTTTCTGATAATTAAATCAATATAAGCAATATATAAAAACATGGCTATTTTTTCATTCTCGATCAGATAAAGATGTCAGGATGCCGTTTTGAATCCAAGTGTGGAGACTGACTTTAAATTGCATCTACAATCCCTTCATGGAACTTATTGTACAGTGGTAGGCGATTATATAAATACAATGAAGACGACTTTTGATTTCAACTTTGATTTATATCGAAAAAAGCTTTTCAAATCAAAACTTAAATAAAAATGTCGTCTTCATTTTATTGCTATAATCGCCTACCACTGTAAGTAAGGAAAAACTCTCACAGATATGAATTCTATTTAGAAAACTTGCAATTTTAATCTAAATTTATTCCTTCTGAATGAAAAGAAATTAAATTTCTTAAATCTCTTATTAAACTTTCACACCATGTATTTTAATTTTAAAACCTTTCCTTTAAGTTCCAACATTATTTAATGTACACCGATCTTTATTTTATATTATAGAAACAATATTTTACAACATTTAGATTTTCAATCTTGGAGAGAGAGTTATATTGGAAATTTTCATTGTTTTAAAAAAAAAATCTGCAAGTTTTCAATTTTTATCATTCTTAATTTTGAAATTTTACTTCAATTAAAACCAGCTTAAATATATATTCTGACATTTTCCATTCTTTTATTAGATTTAAAAGAAAGAAAATTAATTTCAATTTAAAAAAAAAACATTGGAATGATTATCTTCCTTTATTCCTTTAAAAGTGTAAACCTTTGATATTTCAAACTTAGATTATTTGATCTATGGTCTACGACATTGAGCTGTGAAGATATAGGAATTAGAAAATCAGAGTTTGTGACAAAGACTTCATTCCTACGTACTCGTAGATGTTTAATTGTCATCATTAGAATTTATTTAGTTACATATTGTGAAATCTTTCTGCGACTTCAACAGAAATGAAGAAGACGGTAATCATTTCACTAGTTTCTATTCGTCACTGTATTACATGTTTGTATATGTGTGTTTTGTAGAGGGCCAACGAAAAATAGAATAAAATTAACATTTGTAAAAACCGTTTTAAAACTATTCATTGTAAAATATTGTTAAAAAAATGTAACAAAACTTTCACAGTTTTAAAATAAAAATTCTATATTTTCGTATTTTTTGTCTTTCTTGTAATAAAGTAGGTTCGCTCTGAAGAGAAATAACATGTTTGTTCATGAAATTTAATTTCGGAGGCTCGGGTCTGATGTTGTTCATCAAACATTCATTTATCCAGTTTTTAACTTATTGGTTTGAGTTTGATGTTGTTAAAATCACCGAATTTCTTTTGATACTAAATACTTTAAAAGGGGAAGGAGGGGGGGGGATGGGCGTTTTTGCTCTTGTTGTGGCTTTTAATAATTGTCTTCACAATATCAGACTTGAACATAACCAATCTTGAGTATAATTTACTAATCTGCAACATTGTTTAATCAGAGATCTTAAATAATTTTAGCTTTTAACTTGGTGATTATTTTAGCATCATACCGTTGTAAATCGTACATATACTCATTTTTAAATGGAGGATCACTGAAAATTACTAGAACAGGACCTTTAAATATTAATGTCTATATTTTGTACTCTTTAATAGCTCGCTGTATTTTGTACTCTTCAATAGCTCGCTATATTTTTTACCTTTCAATAGCTTGCTCTATTTTTATTCTTCAATAGCTTGCTATATTTTGTACTCTTCAATAGCTCACTATATTTTGTACTCTTCAATAAATCGCTATATTTTCACTCTTCAATAGCTCACCATATTTTGTACTCTTCGATATATTTTGTACTATTCAATAGCTCGCTATATTTTTTACGCTTCAATAGCTCACTGTATTTTGTACTCTTCAATAGCTCACTATATTTGTACTCTTCAATAGCTCTCGCTATATTTTTACTCATCAATAGCTCGCTATATTTTGTACTCTTCAATAGCTCGCTATATTTTTACTCTTCAATAGCTCGCTATATTTTGTACTCTTCATAAGCTCGCTATATGTTTACTCTTCTATAGCTCGCTATATTTTGTACTCTTCAATAGCTAAGGGGATTAAAGAAATATTATCTTTGTTGCCTTTACTGGATTAGATTATTTGAGATTTATTTTCAAAAGACTAAATTCAATAAAAGCTAAAAATTGGATTTTCTTTTTAAATTTCTTTACTATAAATACATTATCTTATTCTCATTCAATCCTTTAAAAGAACCACAACGAATTCCAGGAAAAGTAACTTCTAAAGCTTACATCTTAAATATCACAAACAGGAAATAAAATTTTGATTAATAAATATTTTTCTATGTTTCCTTTATGGATTTAAATTATGAATCCAGTTCAAGAAATAACTTTTAGTTGTCTGTAAACGTAATTTCAAGTGACCTACTATTGTAAGAGCGGCAGGTCCGATTTACAACGATACCCTTAGTTTTTACTAATTTTGTATAAACTATATAGCCAAGTTTTTCGGTTTTGAAAACTATTTATTTTCATTCATAATTTCTCTAAAAGTTAGAAACAATGAAGAAGTTACGCGTATTAAATACTTTTCAAGCGTGTTGGTACAACTACATTATCTTCCATCAGATAAAGGTTCCTAAGGGATGGATGCCCCTCTAAAATAAATACGACAAAACACCCTTTAAATCAAAACTTTCATTTTAAGAACTACAAGTAGTTTTTTTTCAGAAACATGTTTGGACCGATATGTTACTGAGCAACAAGATAATTTCTTGAAAATGTAATGAGCATGTTTATCCAATAACCAACGTAAGAACATAAAAAAAAAATAACTAAATAACGTTTCAATCAAAAAGATAAAAAAGTCTATCATATTTGGATTTATTTAAGAAAATTCTAGTTATCAGAAGACGATAAATATTATTTTGTTTAGAAGCAGATTTAAAGAATTGTTAGTTAATAATTCAACGTACTCTGGGTAGTAAACTGCTAACTGAAAATTATGTACAAAAAGGAGATATTTTATAAACATCTTTATAACAAGCAATCATGAAAGTTTCAATTAATGATAATTTATAAATGATAAATAGCAATAAAAAGTTAAAAATAATTAAGTAATAATTAAAAATTTACCTTTTTTATCTAAATTGTTGGCTTTGTCAGAAATAAATTCACTTCAGTTCCTTGTTTAAATCTGGTCTTAATGGTATCTGATTAACTTTTTATATATCTAACAAATCTTCTGACTCAACTAAATCTTTAAATCACACGGGACGGGAATTTGACGCATCTCACATATTGCGTAAGTTGGTTACGCGGAGAAGCGACGCACAAGACATAGTCGGACATGATGCCACTCAATAGACGTCCAGGGTCAATTGAAATATCGTGTACAGTCCCTTTAAATGTATAAGATGAGTTATTTTGTTCCAGTCAGTGTTTCTTTGAAATATCAAAGGTTTAAACCATTAGGTTGCAAAGATATAGGATTAGAAAATTAAAGATTGTTGCATATGTCCTTTGAATAAACATTTTCTCGTAATATCTAACAGAAATAACGAACAAAATGTTATAAATATAAATAGCTGTTAAGACATCTCTCTAAATACGTTTATACTTTCAAACAGAATGGTCTTATTAGCTGGATATTCTCAACTTAGTGTTAGGGATTTATAACATTGTGCTATTTCAGGGAAGAAGGTTGTTGCAAACAAATGGTTCCGGGAGGTAGCAAACACGTTTACAAGAAGATGTCCCACCTCACATGATCCATCCATAGCGTTGGGATATTAGGCATTCAACTCTCATTAAAAGCTGTACTTTATCTTCGGTCAGTGTACTGCAAATCACTGCAGAACACACCAAAAGCTTAGTTCAGGGTGAATCAGAGCTGAAATTGTGGATATCGAGATCAATGCTTCATCTTGCTCCTCTTTTTGTTAATCTTTATTTTAATATCCAGAAAAATGTCTAAAATTCAATCATCAGAGTGTCGTTTGAATAAACCTAACAGCCAATCAGAAGCTGGTAACTTTCCGCGCAGCCAATGAGAAAATTCTTCGTGGTTGGACCCCAGCAGGGAATAAAACGTGTCCACAGTGGATATTGAGATTAAACGAACGGGATTTTTTTTTCATATTTATTCTTTTAAATTCTAAACAATTGTATAAATTAGATGATATCAGCTGCAAGTATTTGGACATTTCTTTTTTTCTAAATCTCTATTTTCTTTTTGTTTTCTCGTGCATCATCCATCATGTTTGGTAAATTTAGAAAAGAAAAGAGAAAAACGAACGGGATTAAGGAACGGAATTAAGGAACGGGATTAAGGAACGGGATTAAGGGTATCCAATAGTTTCCAGCTCTGGATACTCTTTAATCCCGTTCACTTGATCTTGATATCCACTTCATCTCTTCATTTCAGTATATCCCTTTAGGATTACCATGCAGGATATCAAATAGAGATTAAATTAATCTGCAGATTATATGAAGAATAAGATCAAGCATTGATCTCAATATCTATACTTCAAGATTATTCTTATAAGACGTCTTCCAATGAAAAAAAGTGATTGAGAGAAGTATTAATCTAATTTTGAATCTAATTCTTAAAGTATGAAAATCTGTGATAGAATATTAAGGAAACGGAATTTTTTCAGTAAGGTATAAAAAAATAAGTATTTACAATATAAATCAACAATTAATAAGGAAGGTCCTATTAATTGGCCACACTTTGTGCGTCCTTCTTGAGAATTTTTCGTGAGCGTCCTACCCTAACCCGGTATTTAGGATTTTACCAGAATTTCTTCTAGGGGCACTTTTTTATAAAAATTTTATAATATTTTTCAAAATAAATAAATAAATCCACCTACACCATAGTACACACAATACACTAATAATATAAAGTTATGTTTATGGCGTGTAACTTCAAAATTCAGAATTCGTCTACAGTACATTTCAATGTAGTTCTATATACCATTTAAATTTTTGTAATATTTAGATATATTTATAGAACATTGTTAATGTATGAACAATATTAATGCAGCCACAGAATAAAACTATGTACAAAGTTAATTTATGTAAAATCTATATAAAATCAATATGTACTAACTGTTGTTTATTTACAAGATTTAAAAAGGTTTGCGACATTACTGGCAGGCCCATAGATAGGGGGCACAGGGGCACGCGCACCCCCGAAGGGGGGGCACACTTTCTGAGAAGAAAATGAAAAAAATAAATGAAGGAAATGAAAAAGGAAAGAAAGAAGGAGGGGAGATATTTGGGAATTGTTATTTCTATCCTGTCTTGTGAAATGAAAGGGTTTATATATTTTTTTTGGATTTTGAGAGACTTATCCTTTTCCTTTCTTCCCCTTCTTCCCTTTTCCCTTCCACATTTAAATTATGTACAAATATGGCCGGGAAAGGGAGAAGCTGTTTGTAGGGTAGTTCGAATTTTAGTTTTGAGAAAACTGAAGATTTTCATCGTTGAGATCTTGTTTTGATAGTTACAGAAATTTAAGTCATTTACTTTCCCTGCATTGAAACTAAGTATTGGCTATTCGTGATTCAAAAGTTTTCAGTATTACATTTATATAGTTTAACTCAAATCTCTACATCTTATACCTCCTTTTTTGTGTTGATGCACATCAAGAATGTAAGGCAAGGAAAGTTAATTGCGGTTGTGTATACTCTGTGTGCATATTGAAACCAGTTCTCTCTGGACGGAATTTGTAAACAATAATAGATGCATCAGTGTTCGTTTAGTATCCGAGGAGGTTAAAAGCATTAAATTTTGATAATTTTGATAATTCACATAATAGTTTCCTATGACCAGAATATTTCATTGATTTTTTTATGTGAAAGATGGATCCCATGTCAGGCTTCGACATCCGTCTTGTGTTTACATTAGCGCCCAGAGACAGTACACTGCAGTACTAAAGATGTGTACACTTCTGAAATGACTTTCCTTGCCTTACATCCTTGATGCACATAGTTTCTCAATTATTTAATAGCAATTAAGTTTTCAGTAGTACATTTATCTATAGTTTAACTCAAATCTCTACATCTTATACCTCCTTGTTTGTATTGATGCAAGTCTCTTCTCAATTATTCAATGTCGATTAAGGGAACGAAAACAGGCAAAATCTATCTTAATAAACTATATTGTGTGATAAGTTAAAAATCTAGTTTTTTAGTCTACCCCTTTTATTAAGTTTTTCAGGTCAAAAAAATTGTTCGCCTGCGTCGCGCCCCTTACTAGCTATCTATGCTATTGTTAAGTTTTGTGCCTCTCCCCCCCCCCACTTCCCCCCTTTATAAATTCCTAGCTACAGAACTGATTAGAAAATCATGTCTGATTTAGAACATATTAAAAAGAATAGAGGTTTTACAGTAAAAATATTCAGAATATTGAATTATTCCTGTTGTTTTATGAGAATAGAGGTTTTACAGTAAACAATATGATGATGTACGACAGGGTGTTCCAACTCGTCTTGAAGCAATATGATGATGTACGACAGGGTGTTCCACAAAACATATCAACATGACTGACGATTTTAAGAGCTCTTGATCTCTCAAATATTATGCATTCGCAAATCTGATGGGAAATAAAATTCTTAGAATAATATTCACAAAATATTCTTAGGTCTGGCATTCCATAATTTAGTCTGCTTTTCATGTGCTTTCAATATTACTGAAGATATGAAAAATTTCGTTCATATTTTGACAATTTCAGTTTTATCTTTTAAAAAATTGTTCGAAATTCTTCACTAACATGTTGACTAGTTAAATCATCAAAATATTTGTATTGTACAATAAACGAAAATATTCAAGGTGCATGCACCATTAATAACATATAATAGATTACGGAGAAACATATATGAAACACACTTAGGAACCCAGCTTTGTCTGGAGTTTTCTCTATAGAAGTCAACCAAGCAAAATTTGAGGCAAATCGGTCGGAGGTTCATAGTTTATGATCGGAGAGACAGTCGGACAAACAGGGATAACTATTCCCTCTCTTATTCTCATCTTCAGCTAGTGTTATATAGGACCATTAAGCCGAGCAGTGTGAGATACAAGGAGTATGAAACAGAAAGGAGATACAACTGACGCGGCCCGCCTTACCATATGATTATATATGCTTCGAAGACGGTACTCCATTTGTAGACGAAATATTCACAATAGGTAATTGTATACGCGGTAATTGATCAGACAAATATTTCTTTTACAAATGGAATACATGTACAGTCTGCAAAGCATGTACAATCATATGGTAGGGCGGGCCGCTTCAGTTGTATCTCCCTTCTATTTCATACTCCTTGGTGGGATATTCTGGCTGCGCCGTTAACATATATATACGTAAGTGTATATGTGAGTACGTCGTGTATACATCAACTTCATCTAAACTGGTTCTTCATAACATTAAACACTTGGAATTTCGAGGTTGATAACACAGCTATCTGTAAGTATAAAACTACTTTGGACTCTAGCTGGATTTTTAACCCCTGAAATTTTGTATTTAAGGCAGAAGTTGCGACAGGACGATGTTCGCTGGGATATAAGGAGGTTTAAGTCGGGATAAATGAGGAAAGAAGAGGGGGGGGGGGGGTTGAAGATGGGAGATAGGGTGTTAAAGATGGGAGAGTGAGTGTTGAAGATGGGAGAGGGAGTGTTTAAGATGGGAGAAAGGGTGTTGAAGATGAGAAAGAGGGTAGGGTGTTGAAGATGGGAGACAGGGTGCTGAAGATGGAGGGAGGGGTGTTGAAGATGGGAGAGAGGGTGTCGAAGATAGGAGAGAGGGGGGTTGAAGATGAGAGATGTGGTGCTGAAGAGGGGGTGTTAAAGATGGGATCGAGGATGTTGAATATGAGAGATGGGGTGTTGAAGATGGGAAAGAGGGTGTCGCAGATGGGAGAGAGAGTGTTGAAGTTGGGAGAAAGGGTGTTGAAGATGAGAGAGAGGGTTATGAAGATGAGAGAGAGGGTGTTGAAGATGAGAGAGAGAGTGTTGCAGATGGGAGAGGCCCATTTACCATTTTGAAGATAAGCAGTTCGGAGAGTTAAAGACAGGTTTTAAATGTCGGGGAGATAGATCAACGGATGATAGATAGAAATAGATAAGTTAACATGCAGATAGATAGACAGATAGAGAGACAGAGATAAATTGATGGATATGTAATAAATATAGTAAGAAACCCCATATTTTGTAAACCCAAAACATACCTATATATATTATGTTATCACATTATCTGTACCCTAACTATGTTCATTAATTTCTGAAGTAACCTATTGGTCCATATTATTAATATGTACGATAAAACCCA